CACATACCATAGTCATTCCTGTTGTTTAACCTCTCTGAGTTTCAGTTTCCCTATCCATAAAATGAGGGAGTAGGACTGTATGATCTCTAAGGTTTCTCCCAGCCCTGAGTTGCTAGGATGCTGTGACTTTAAGCCTTATCTTCTCCGTGAAGTTGTCCTTGACTATTCTTATCTCTCCCTTCATTGAAGCCTGGTAGCCCTTGTTGTTTTCACCATACAATTTCACACTAGATTATATACTATCTTGAATTACTTTCCACTTATTTCATATATTTATTCACTCAAAAAACATTTACTGAGTTCCTCCTAACATTTTTATGGACCTCGAGGTATATATGAAGATGAATATGGCACGGTCCCGATTCTCATAGAATCATAGATCTAGAACCAAAGGGAATCTTATAAGATATTTAGATTCCTCCCACCCTCTTACCCCCATTTTATAGCTGAAGAAACTGAGGCCCAGGAAAGTTAAGTGACTTGACTGTGGTAATATGAGGAGAAGATTTCCAGAGCAGAATTTGAACCCAATTTCTCCAACTCTAGACCCCATGCCCTGTACCATGCTACCTCTTTCTCAAGAAGATTTCAACCTAGTACGTAAGTATTGATTCCTCATGTAGGTTGTGAGCTCTTTGAAAGAGGTCTATACCCTAGATTTCTCTTGTCCTCACTTCGGTGCTTACTTAATACAGTATACATAAGTATTTCATTTCATGGATCTTCCCTGCAGAGATGGTAAAAGGCAATTCCTATCCCTACAAGTTCGCTGTCTTAACTGTTCACCAGATGCTTTGACCTTTCATTGTAATGCATGCAACTTGACTTACTGCAAAAACAAAACAAAACAAAACAAAAGCATATTCCATGGTGAATATAATTAGTTCTAACATTAAAAAGAAGTTCACTCCTGAAAAGTAATATTTAAAAGTGAACCTTGTTTTCCCAGGTGATGAATGGTCAAAGGATATGAACAGACAGTTTTCAGATGAAGAAATCAAAGCTATCTATAGGCATATGAGTAGTGCTCTAGATAATTTTTGATTAGAGAAATGCAAATTAAAACAACTCTGAGGTACCACCTCACACCCATCAGAATGGTTAATATGACAAAAAAGGAAAATGATAAATGTTGGAGAGGATGTGGGAAAATTGGGACACTAATGCACTGTTGGTGGAGTTGTGAACTGATCCAACCATTCTGGAGAGCAATTGGGAACTATGCCTAAAGGGCAGCCAAACTGTGCATACCCTTTGGTCCAGCAATACCACTACTAGGTCTGTATCCCAGAGAGATCATACAAAGGGAAAAGGACCTACACGTGCAAAAATATTTATAGCAGCCCTTTTGTGGTGACAAAATATTGGATACTGAAGGGATGCCCATCATTTGGGGAATGGCTGAAAAAGCTGTGGTACATGAATGTGATGGAATGCTATTGTACAATAAGAAATGATGAACCGGAAGATTTCAGAAAAGCTTGAAAAAACTTGTATGAACTGATGCAAAGTGAAATGAGCAGAATCAGGAAAACATTGTACACAGTATCAGCAACATTGTGTGATGATCAACTATGAATAACTCAACTCTTCTCAGCAATACAATGATCCAAGACAAGTACAAAGGACTCACAAGAGAAAATGCTATCCACATCCAGATAAAGAACTGATGGACTCTGAATGCAGATCGAAGCATACTTTTTTTTTACTTACTTTATTCTTTTTCATGGTTTTTTCTCCCATTTTGATCTGTTTCTTCCTTCACAAGTGTGACTAATGTGGAAATGTTTTACATGACAGCACATGTATAACCTATATTAAATTGCCTACTATATTAGGAAGAGGAGAAAGGAGGGAGGGAAGGAGAAAAATTTGGAACTCCAAATCTTGTAAAAATGAATGCTAAAAATTGTTTTGACATGTAATTGGGAAAAATATAAAATACTATGAATGAATGAATGACTGAATTAAAAAAAAAGTGGAAAAAAGTGACCCTTGTATTCTCCCAACATATTGCCCCTAGGAAATAATCCAACTTGTCTATTCCTACTACCAGCTCTGCCCAAGTGTGTTAGTATCACATAATCCTTAGGTGGGAAGTCACTTATCTTTTCCACCGATAGGTCATTTTATCCAAGTCCAATTATGATTGTTCTAAGTCATTTCAGGTGCATGCATCTAAGTCTATCTCTCCTATTTTAAGAGATCTCTTAGGAGGAAGAAACCACATTTTCCCACTGATAAGTAAACATTCACCTTATGTTGCCCAGAGTCAGGCCTTCATGCCACTTCTTGGCCATCTCCTCACATGCAGCTCATGCTCCAGTCATTATTCTCATCTCCCCACTACTATAGCCTAGGACTTTGCCTCTTGTCTTCTAGCTCCGATAGCTGAATTTTGCCTCAACTTGGCCTTTATGCCATCTCCCAACCATCTCTACACCACGCCAAGGCACACATCCTTTCCCCATTCTTCCGCCACCTCTTTCCAGCTCCTCTTTCTGTGTTGTTTTCCCCCGTCAGAATGTAGGATCTTTGAAGACAGATACTGTCTTAATTGCTTGTAATTGCATTGCCAGTTTTTAGCATAGGACCTGGCATATAGTAAATACTTAATAAATGTTCCATCATCTATCTATTTTTCTATATATCATCAATCCTATACCTCCTATATGGAAGGCACTGTGCTAGATGCTAGGGATATAAAACAAAACAAAACAATGCTTGCCCTCAAGAAGCTTGCATTCTATATGTGTATTCATGTACACATGAGAAAATATAATATACGTATATATACACATAGATGTACAAAATATATTTTGTTTTCGAATTGTTTTAGTCATATCTGACTGTTTGTGACCTTTTCTGGGGTTTTCTTGCCAAAGATACTGGAGTGGTTTGCCATTTCCTTCTCCTGCTCATTTTACAGATGAGGAGCCAAGGCAAACAGGGTTAAGTGACTTGCCCAGGGTCACACAGCTAGTAAGTGTCTGAGGCCAGATTTGAATTCAGTTCTTGACTCCAGGCCCGGTTCTCGGTCCACTGTGCCACAGTGGATACCTACACATTAAAAAGTTTTGGATCTGTGATTTCATCAGCATAAATAGTTCCTGGTGAGGAAACTCTTCCACCAATGAAGAGTTGAAACTATTCTGCAACTTATGGTCTTAGCCAATGGCCTGGGGGACTGAGATGTTGAGTCTTGGCCAGGGTCAATGAGCCAGTGAGTGTCAGCAGTGGAATTAAAACCTAGGTCACCCTTATTGCTGGGATGGCTCAGTAACCATTACGCCATGCTGCCTAATGCAAAGTCATATCAAGGGGAGAGAATATTATCAGCTGGGGGAGTCAGGAGAGGCCTTTTGTGGAGGTGGCACCTGAGCTATGTCTTGAAGGAAGGCCAGAATTCTGAGAGGTAGAAGTGAGGAGGAAGTACATTGCACACATGCAGGTCTGGTGTTCAAAGGCCCAGAGATGGCAGATAGAGTGGTATGACTTGGCGCCAGCTGGAAGTCCATGTTGACTTGGAGTGGAGAGTGCGTGATGGGAAGTAATGTGAAATAAGATTGTAAATGGAGTTGGAAGGCCAGACTGAGGATTTTGCAGTTTATCTTCAAGACAACAAGCAGATGTTGCAAATATTTGATCGGGGAGTGGGAATAGGAATGTGATGGTCAGATGTATGTTTTGAGAAGATAATTTTGGCAAATCTGTAGAAAATGAGTTGGAGAAGGGGAGACACTGAAAGCAGGGAGATCATTGGGAGGCTATTGCAATGGTCTGGATGAGAGGTGAAAGGGTTAGCTTAAACCATAATAGTGTCTGTGTGAGAGGAGAGAAGAGAATATAAGGCAAGTATGTGGAGATGGTTGAATCAGGGAGATTTGTCAGCTGATTGGATCTGGGGGATTTGGGAAAAGGAAATTTCAAAGATGACTACAAAGTTAGAAAACTATGTTACTTTGAGGATGTAATGGATTCAAGAGAAATAATGAAGTTTGGAAAAATGATGGGTTTACAGAAATATAAGTTCTGTTTGGGACATGTTGAGTTTGAGATTCCTATAGAACATCCAGGTAGAGATAGCCAATAGGCAGTTTGTGATACAAGATTGGAATTCAGGGTATAGATATGAAATGAATCTGTAGATCTGTGACTCATCCGCAGAGATCATTATTGAACCCTTGGGAGTGTATGAGATCACTAAGAGAGTAGAGAGAGAGAGGAGGCGAAGGCCCAGGACAGAGGTTTGGGGAAGCTTTTGTTTAGTAGGTGTGAATGACGATGATACAGTAATGGAGACAAGAGCCATTCGAGAGAATCATGAAAGAAATGGGATTTAAGAGTGACAGAAGTCAGGTAAAAATAATATTCGAAGAATAAAAGAATAATCTGTGATTTCTTCAGTGTGGGGGAAAGAAACTCTAGGTGCTGTAATTTCTTTCACTGACATAGATAGCAACCCATCTATGATTTAATAGCTAATTTATAATAATAATACACTATCAAGGTGGCATAGTTCATAAAATGGTGGACTTGGAGTTGGGAAGATTTGAGTTTAAATCCTGCCCTAGTAGATACTTACTAGCTAAGTAACCTTGGGTAAATCACTTAGCCCCTACCTGCTTTAGCTTCCTCATCTCCACACTAGTTAAATGTGAATACAAAAAGTTGAAGCTGTGTCTATACAGTGCCTAAACATCTCACCAATGCTACAGAAAAAAAGAGTCAATTAGCCAGATCTGTTATCCAAATTACTCCTTTGACTAAAGTTCACACCGAACCAGCCTATTACCTTGGAATCATTTGCCAAATGCACAATTTGAATAGATCATTAGCCCTATTCTTTGCTGTTAATTCCATGTACAGGACAATGTTAATAGTGAGCGTGAATTTTAGTTAAGAAAGAGAAACCTTCCAACCAGTGAAAACCCTCGAGCTGGAGGTGAGAAAAGTACTTATGGTTGCCCAAGAGGCACTGGGTCTTGGAGTTTACTTACAGTGTAGCAGATTCATTATTCATCCCTTGAAAAGCATTTCCTGGGATGGTGGTTATGTGTAAGTTATCACAAATTTCCCTTGAGGAAAGAAATGAGAAATATTTACTTTCCAAATTTTGACGACAAATATGGAACTGTTATGCATAGCAATTAGCTTAGTACTTACAAAATAAAATTAAATTCAGCTGAGAAAATCTTTGTAACATCTGGGAGCTTTTGAATGCCTGTGTTACAGATGCTCCTGCAAGAGAAAGGTGAAGGGAGTAGGGGATTAAGGCATTAACGTGAGAAAATGAAAACCTGCAAAAGACTCAACTTCACATGAAGTAAAAGGGGAAACTAGACTGTGGAATTTGACTCCAATACGACTTTCGGTTATGCAGATTCTCTGAGCTTAAAAGCACCAGAGCATTGAGAGAAGGTAAAGTTCAGACAGACATTGCAGAAATGAAATCTAATTCTAGATTTTCTATTTACTAGCCATGAGACTTTGGGCAGCATGAGCCTTAGTTTCTTCATCTATAAAATAGGTGTTTAATAATATTTGCCCTACCTACCTCAGAGGAAAGCAGATTATGAACTGTCATATGCTATATAAGTATAAATCATTACTATTAATAACAATAATCATCGTGATGACCACAGACTCTATGTAGTATTCCAATAAGACTTTGCCTAGTGCAGAGTATAGCTGAGAGATGACTTTTTTTCCCCCACCCTGATCCACCCAGCAGGATGGGTACTATGGCTGGTTTTAGCTCACACTGAGCTTGTGGTCAGCTAGAATTTTATAGGTCTTCTACAAAATTTGCATTTATATTTAGCCAGAATTTCCCCACCTATTTTTATGATAGTATCCTCCTTCATTTCCAGTCTTCTATGTCTGGAATTCTTTCCCTCTTCATCTCCATTTATTGAAATCCCAGCTCCCTTCAAAGCTAAGCTCACACAATCTCACAAATGAGACTTTCCCTGATGCCTCTAGTTATTACCACTCTCTTCCTTGTATACGTTACTTGGGAATATCTTATATTTACTTTTCTGTGTAGGTGTTGTTTCCCCCAGTAGAGGGGATCTACAGGCAGGGATGATTTTGTTTTTGAATTTGTACCCCAGGACCTAGCACAGTGCAAAGTATACAGCAAGTGCTTAATAAATGTTTCCTGAATGATTGAAGTCTTGCATATGATTGAGAACACTCATGTGTAGTTTAAGTGAAACTAGGTGGCACAGTGGCTAGAGTGCCAAGCCTGGAGCCAGAAAGAATCATCTTTGTGAGTTCAAATCTTGCCTCAGATACTTAGTAGCTTCGTAACTCTGGGCAAGCCACTTAACCCTGTTTGTCTCTGTTTCCTCAATTTAAAATGAACTAGAAAAGAAAATGGCAAACCACTCCAATATCTGTGTCAAGAAAACCCCAAATGGGGTCATGAAGAGTTGGATGTGACAGAAACGACTAAACAAACCACACAATGTTCTAAAGGGGTCTAAGTGGAGAGGTGGTCCCTACTTTTTATTTCTTCTCCTGCTGCCATGCCTTTGCTCAAGTGATCTTCTACATTTAGAATGTACTCCCTAATCAATCAACAAGCATTTATTGAATGCCTATTGTGTGCCAGGAGCTATAGGTGTTCATATTTCTTTGTACAAACTTGATTTTCTTTCAAAGCACGGCTCTAGTGTTATCCTCCATGCTAGGCCTTTCCTGATCCCCCCATCTATTAGTGCTCTTACCATCCCCTGAAATCCCCAGTTATTTTGTTTTACATTACATATATATATATATGTATATATTTAAATGATTTGTATGAACCTACTTGTATACCTACTGTATCCCTTGAGTAGATAATAAGCTCCTCGAGGGCAAGGATTATTTCATTTTAGCCTTTGTATCCCCAGTATTTTGTACAATGCCTGGCACATAGCAGACAGTAAATGCTTATTGAATTGAGATGAAGAAAATCTAACATTAAAAAAAACCTGAACTTAATACAAAAGATAGGGAACAATTATCCATATAGCAAAAGAGACTATTCTCCTTAGCCAAAGGATTTAGCATTACATTTTTTTAATCCTTTTCCTCAACTGTAAAATGGGGACTATAACAGCATCTACCTCACATAGCTGTGAGGATCAAATAAAATCATACTTTTAAAAGGGTTTAGCACAGTTCCTGGCACATAGTAGGTCCTCTATAAATTCTTCTTCTTTTTACATAACTGGCTCCTCTAGTGAATCAAAGACAGGCGGCTTGAAATGACACCCAGCTTTTCAGGAATAACTTGAAGTACACCTGTCTAATGTTATAGAGTAGTAAAAAAAAGCACTAAACTGGAAGTCAGATGGCCTAGCTTCTGGTCATTTTGGCTCTGCCACTTACTAGCTGTGTGACTTTTTGGTAAATCTTTTAAACTCTTTGGCCTCATTTTCTTTACTCTTAATATGGGAATGGGACTTGATAATCTCTCAGAGCTTTTCCAGTGCCAACATCCTATTACAGTGAACCTATGAATAAGGCCAAACTACAAGCAATGCTAAGTGCATTATTATCATTATGAAATAGCTTCTTTTCAACTTTTTAATTGATTTAATCTTTATTGAAAAGCAAAAAAAAAATCCTATTTTTGAGAAAATGAGAATTTCTTACAGATATTTTAACCGTGGGAGGTTTGTAAAGGCTCCAGGCCCAATGTACACCAGATTTTTGGTGTTCTGGATCAATCTGTGAAGAGAGGGAAAATGTGTAGTTATCTAATAGATACATGTACTTCTGAATACCTGACACTCTAGAGCACCGAAGGCAGCTGACTGAAAAGGGCGGGAACCAATCTAGAATTTTTTCATATATTTGGGAGGAAGTACTGAGGTTCTGGAGATGGTAAAAGCCATTAATGAGCACATTTCCAGTAAACTTTCGTCCCATTTTCTTTACAAGGCAGGAATCTCCCTCCTATGCTTTGCTCTGCTGTGGAGGGAGCCGTTGCCCAAAATTTCAGCAGGAAATTTGTTTTGTGGGAAACAGTTCCAGCCCAAAGGACAGCAGGGATTAGTTAAGATTGGGGCAATTCCAGGGCTCTGTAACAGAGCAAGTGGTGTTTATGTTGTATAGAGTCTATACACTGAGGATTATGGGAAATTCAATGAACACCAGACCGGAGAGACCCATGTGTTAACTGTTTTCCTTTTCAAGACAGGATGCTTCCAATGTGGTGGTATGAGGATTTATGTGGAACAATGTATCCGCTACAGCAGCAGTTCTCAAAGATTGGTGGTCAGGGACCTCTAGGAGGCCCCAAGATCCTTTCAGGGGGTCCATAAAGTCAAAACTATTTTCATAATAATACTAAGACACTTTAATTTCTAGTCTAGTAAATATCCATAGTTATATCCCACATAAACAAGAGCTGTTGTGGTGGTGATAGGGGATTCCTCAGTAATTTTTAAGAATATAAAAGGGTCCTGAGGCCAAAAGGTTTGAGAATGACTGGGCTAGAGGAAAGGAGTCTGGACTGATATTCTATAAATCTGGGCTCTTAATTGTGACTTTGCAATTAACTAGCTTCATGACTCTGGGTAAAGTCACCCATGCTTTCTGTAGGTGATAGCCACTGTTGTTACCATCTCAGAATGAAAGCCAAAGGCAGCTATGATGTAATGGACTTGGAGTCAGGAAAATCTGATTTTGAATTCAACTTCAGACACTAGAGTAAGTGTCTCACAGAGGCAGCTAGGTAGTGCAGTAGATAGAGCGCTGGGACCTGGAGTCAGGAAGTTCAGATTTAGCCTGAGAAATTTAATAGCTCTAAGACCATGGGCAAATTACTTAACCTTTGTTTGCCTCAGTATCCTCAGTAAAATGAGGATAGTAATAGCAGCTGTCTCACTGGGGCAGATAGGTGGTGCAGTGAATAGAGTGCCAGGCTTAGAGTGAGAAAGACTCATCTTCCTGAGTTCTAATCTGGCTTCAGACCCTTACTAGCAGTGTGACCCTGGGTAAGTCACTTAACCCTGTTTGCCTCAGTTTCTTCATCCATAAAGTGATCTGGAGAAGGAAATAGCAAACCACTCCAGTATCTTTGTCAAGAAAATCCCAAATGGGGTTAAGAAGAGTTAAATATGACTGAAATGGCTGAACCACGAAACATAGGGTTGTTGTGAGGATCAGATGAGATCATATTTGTAAAGCACTAATATATAGAAAGCACTTTGCAAACCTTAAAGCGCTACATAAATGCTAACTATTTTTCTTGCAGTGTCTGTAAAAAAGTGCCTTAGAAAGTATAAAACAATTAAACGTGTGTAAGATGTTAGGATTACTATCCCTACCTTAGGCGGATGTTCCCAAAATGGCTCTCCCCTCTGAAAAGTCACCAGATAAAGCCTTTCAGTTTTTCTCTGCCTTCTTTCAGATACAATTGTTACATTTCTAAGGCTTCTCATCAGTGTGAATCCTCTGATGCTGAATAAGGTTTGAGCATTACTGAAGGTCCTCCCACAATCATTACATTTATAAGACTTCTTATAAATTGATATGGAGCCTCTGGTGCATAATGAGTTGTGACCATTGATAGAAGGATTTCTAATATTCGTTACATTTCCACACCCACCAAACTAATGACCTTGACCTCCTACAGGACTCAAGGATGTTATTGTTGATGACCTTTCTACTATTTTTTCTTGAGGACTTGCGCTCAGATTGATAATCAAGCTTTTCTGATCACACATTCCATCAATTAAAAAAATTGGCACATGCATCCCTAATATGTGTATGTTTACTTATTTACAAATTATACATGTGTATACTTACATATGTATACTACTATGCTAACAAATATGTATATTATGAGACACATTTCTCACCAGGCTATATGACTTTGGGACTTCTTGAAATGACTTCTCCACCATTACCCTCCCCTTACCTCATTTTCTTCTTTCCTCACTCCTTTTTAGCCTCCTTTGGTGTTTGTCTTTTCCCCATTAGATTGAAAGTTCTTGAGGGCAGGGACTTTTTTTTTTATATTTGTATCCCCAGCATTTAGCACAGTGCCTGACACATAGTAGGTGCTTAATAAATGTATATTGATACTGGCATATTAAACTGGCATATTAAAAGGATGCAATAAAGACGAAATAATATTTGATCCTAGAGTCAATAAGGAATCCTTGGATTCTATTGAGTCAGAGAATGATATGGTTAGATATAAGCTTTAGGAAAATTACTTTGGCTTTTGTGTGGGGGAATGGTTTGGCTCGTAGAGAGATAAGGCAGGAAGACCATTTAGGAGGAATAGTCTAGTGGAGTTGTAAAAAGGGCTGAATTAGATTGGTGGCTGTGTAAGTAGAATATTTCTGTTCAGTCAAATGCCCCAAATAAGACAACACTTTACTTTATTTGTATATACTGTACAGTTCATCATCTATGCAGCTCTGTCTTATCTGCTAAGGTCTAAACTCCCTAAATACATAGTGAGTGAGCTTCTGGGTAGCTGCAGTGGCTGCATATTGAAGCCCTAGGGGTATTTAGCCCAGAAAAGAGATGATTTGAGGTAGAGGGGTGAGAGGAGGAAAATGGTAGCTGACTTCAAGTATCTGAAGGGCTGTCATACGGAAAAGGGGCTAGACAGACTCGTTCTGATAGAAGTAGGAGCAATGGGTGGAAGTTGCCAAGGGACTGATTTAGGAAAGATGTCAGGGAAAACTTCCTAACAATTAGAGCTATCTCAAAGAAGATGGGTGATGGTGGGTTCCATTCACTGGAAGTCTTCAAGGAAAGGATGGATAATTAGTCATAGTTAACTTTATATAGTCCTTTAGGGTTTGCAAAGCACTTTACATGGATTGTCTCGTTTACTCTTCACATCCGCCCTGGGACGTGGGTGCTGTCATTATCCCTGTTTTACAGCTAAGGCCGAGAGGTTAAGTATCCGGCATCATAACTAGGGAATATTTGAAGGCATAATTCAAACTCAGGTTTTTCTGACTCCAAGTCTAGCACTTTGTTTATTATGACAGCCAGGTGCTAGATGACATCTTGATGAGCGTGTTTTGTGTTGTAAAAGGAATTCACTTTCTGGTATGGGTTGGACTAATTGGCCACTGAGTTTCCTTCTAACTTGAAGTTCTTTGATTTTGTGATTCGAACTTATCCTTGTCCCCTGTCCCTCACAGTCAGTCAGCTAGTCAACTAAGCATTTATTAAGCACCTGCAATGTGCCAGGCGCTGTCCACTAACAGATTGACTCTCATAGTGCTTACAACAATACTGGAAACATACAGGCATTTAGTGAACATTTGTTGGATGACTGATCTAATTATTTTTTGAAAACGAATGTCTAATTTTTTTGCAAGTGTTAGCAGAAAAGGATCATAGATTTAGAGCCGGAAAAGACTTTAGGATACTGCTAAAGACTTTAGCAATCCCCAAAAGGTAGGGCCAAGATGCTATTTAAGTTTTGGACTCAGAAACTTCTGGCACAGTGTAGTAAAAAGAGCATAATCCTTGGAGTCACAGGACTTGAATTCTTATCCTGGCTTTTCCACTAACTATCTGTATGACCTAGGGTCTCTGGGCCCTAGTTTTTAAAACGTAAAACATGAGGATCAACAAGATTATCTCTAAGGTCCTTTTGCCCCAAGTTTCAATATGAATCTATGATCTTGGAATACAGAGATTTTGTTCAACATTTACAATAAGATGGGAGGAAACCTGAAAGGGACCCTCAGCCCAAATTTCCACATTGTCTGTTGCATTCCAGACCTAGAAGGAAAGGCAGCATGGTCTCTAGATAGGGCACTAGACTTGGAGTTAGGAAGACCTGGGTTTAAATCTTGCTTCAGACACTAGCTTTGGGACCCTGAGCAAGTCATTTTACACCTATATATGCCTCTATTTCTTCATGTATAAAATGAGGGCATTGTGGTTGATGGGCTCTAAGACTCCTTCCAGCTCTAAATATGTTATCTGTGATCCTGTGACCCAACCCCCAACAGAGAGATGGAAGCTGCAGGCTGGACTCTGACACGCCAATTTTAATTTCCAACTTTGTGTTGTGATATTTCAGAGTTTATACAGCACCTAGGGAGAAGCAGTTGTCACCATAGCAACCTCTAGGCCACTGTGGTGAGAGAAATTAGTGCCTGCCCAAATCCAGTAATTGAGGTAGTCTTTTTTTTTTTTCCTCTTGGATCCTTGCAGCAGGTACCTGAATACAAATATGGAGTGGACTGTAGCTAGCAAGGGTACTAGTGTATAGCAATAAACTATCTGTTAGCCGATGCTTACATTTCAGACAAATTGAGGAGGCTGTCAAAGGCATTAGCTTCCATCCTTTCCAGAGAGTCACTCTGAGAGATTTCACTGAGGGGAGAAACAAAGAATACCACATGAAACAGATGATCATGTCTACATGAGAATGAGCTGTGCATGACATGTAACAATAGGGTAAAACAAGCAAAAATGTGATGTGTTTTCTTTGAAAAAGAACAGAAAATTCGCGGCATCATAAAGTGCTAATGTCTCCCTTTAGGAGCTTGGAGGAGTGAGTGCCTGCAATATAGGTATAGTTGAAATGCACATTTTTCAGCTCCCATTGTAGCTCTCGACAGCCTGACTTTATAGGTGATTGTGTTTCTTGCTCTGCTATGAATGAGTGAGCATTAAAATTTTGTCCAGATTAATCATGACACAACTTAGGACTGAGTCTCCTAAAATGGAATTCTGATATGCATTTAGATGATGACCTAGGATGGTTGTTCTTTGGATACTGAGATCAATGCAGTTGGCAAAATGCCTCAAAGCATGTATCTAGGTATTTCTTATGACCAAAGACCAAATACAAGATCATATCTGTAGCCAGAGGGAAAATAGCAAATTGATGCAATTGTATTTTTGTATACTTTTGTATTCCTAAGGCTAATGGCTCAGTTAAAGGTGTGTGCTTTGACGAAATCCAGAAAAGGTCCATTATGAACAATAGAGTCTGTACAGAGCCTGTTCTCAGCTTGATGATTCATTTATTGAACCGATGCCTGCTCTTCTAATTAAGGGTTTTGTCTTTTTCTCCTCAGCCCCTAGTTCAGTGCCTGGCACACCGTAGACACTTAATAAATTCTTGTTGATTGATTGACTAAAAGAGAGATAAAGTGTCACTGGCAATTTGGGGTCAAACATCATTCTGCTTGCCTCAATAGAAACATTCAATAACTTTCCTGACTCCTTCCCATTTGCACTAAATTTCCAATAGTTGGCATTTATTCTGGAGAAATTTTTAAAAAGTGTCATCAGAATAGTAGAAAGACCTAACACTTCAAGTTGGTAGACCTGGGTTTGAATCCACCTTAGATGCTTTTTAAATATGGTGTTGGGCAAGACACTTAACTCTAAGCTCAGTTTCTTCATCTGTCCAATAGCAGTAATTATGCTTGTGTTATCTACTAAAGAGAGTGGTTGTTATGAGGAAAGTGCACCACAAAACTTCAAGCTATATACATTTGCATTGTTGTTATTAATCTCCATATTTTAAAACTACTCCTCAAAGAAAGCTAGATATTCCCACCTAGGCTGCCAATGTGGGCTTATCATCTTCTATGGATATGTCTCCTCCACTTCCACTATACTAATCTAATATACTGCCTTTTGGAGATAAATTCTGGGCTGCTGCTAAAACTGTCATTAAGAGGGGAGGTGGAAAAGTTTACCTCTCAAGAAGGCTCTGTCTACAGTGGTTGCTTGAATTACTCACCATAATGTAGTTTATTATTATTGTGAATATTAAAGTATAACATGGTGCCTGGCTACACCAGCAATTGAGGAGTCTTTTTCTTTTGAATTGGCCTAGTCAGTTTGTACCTTTCTGTTTCTTGCAATGTTTCCTCCTGGCCCCCTAAAAAGAGCAATATATGGAGTTTCAGTCTTTTCAAAATTCTAAACCATCTGCTATACCATTGCTATGGAAGGAGACTTTGGTCCTAGAAGGCCTATGTATGTGGATGGAGGCTTGAGTCTAGAAAGATGAGGCACAGGGGACAAAGGAGGAAAGGTCAGATCTGAGAGGACACAAGATAACATGGCTTTATCAGGCTGTATTACACTTTTGATAAATTCCTTTCATCAATATGGCTATAAATATTGTATTTTTGTCATAAACTTATTATATTTCAGATACAAAGATTATCCTCAGATGCACAATAAAATGCCAGACACATTTTCTCTGATGTGGGTGTTATCTAAAAATGGGTCATGGGGGAATAGCTGTTCTATTGCAGAAGAAGAGTTTTTATGATTGGAATCCATCTCCTTTTCCACTTGGGAAGTTTATCATCACTTATCAAAATGCATTCAGTTCTCTGAAGCGAGGTTAATTATCTGGATTTTAATGACTCCTGAAAATCATACCTTTTCTTCAAAGGTCCCTAGATGCTAGCTGTATGGATATAGACCGAAATAATAGGGTTTACTTTCCTAAACACATTTCCCCCCACAAAAATTATCCCCTTTCAGCCATGCTTTCGCTTACTGCTTTGAAAGAAAAGAAATAATCATTGCAGTTGTGAGTGTCATTTTGCATAACGGAACCAACTTACATTATTAAGACATCACTAAGTCCTCTGAAAGCTTGTGAAGGGATGACTTTGACAGGGAGATAGGTAAGTGATCTGGAAAGGGAAAAAAAGCAGGAATTTCAAGATTGGATGCTTTTAGATTTTTACATAAACATGTGGCTTTGTGTGCCTTCCTTCCTCTCCCCATTGCTCCCCCATCGGACCACCTGGTTCTCAAGCTCCCCATGACAAAGCTGATCTTTCCTGAGTAGTGCAGCAGCTGGACTCTTGGCTGCTGCTTAAACATTACTCTCTGTTAAAGGCAAGGGTCATGGGCCCAGCTTGGTCTCTTTTGAAGAGCCTAAATCTATGCTGATGTCAGGTTACTTCAGGTAGGAAAGAAAGATTGGGAGGGGGTGGTGGTGTTTGATTTCTTAGAGGGAATGTTGGAGAAAGGCAGGCAGGAGTAACATGACAGAGGAATCAGGGGATTTTGACAAAATTTCTCCTATCTTTGGGACTTCCTCTTTATCTCCAGGAACCCACATCATCACCTAGGGATGCTTCCTTCAGGTCTTTTTGACCTTGGAATACCTTCATGGAGAGACAAACCTACAGATGCATTTAGTTCATTTATCTATCCAATTGTTCATTGGATAAGCATTTATGGATTGAGCAGTCTATACAGAACCTTGCAGTGGGTTCTCTGGAGGGGAGCTGGAGCTGCAGAAGAGATGAGAGGCAGCATGAAGGGACAAGGATGCTTGCCTTGCAGAGACATGGCAGAGACTAGGTTTGTAACCTGCATCTGACACTTACTAGCTTTGTGATCCTGGGCAAGTAATTTAACCTCCCTGATGCTGTTGTTTCATTTGCAAACATGGATAAATACACCCGAAGCGCCTATCTCACATGGATGGTAAAAGGATCACTTTATACTTTAATAAAGAACATACCTTCCCCATTCTCCAAATCAGGCTTCTTATATAGAAAAAGATTAGCACAAGGAGGAGGCAAGGGCTATATTTTATACTCTAGACTCTTGGTTAAGAGTAACATTCAGAACTTTCTATTTGCACCACATTAGAGGAATTACAGAATTCAGAGTGGAAAGGATCCTTGGATGTCATTTAGTCTAATTCCTTCATTTATAGGAAAATAGACCAGCAACATCTGCTGCCACTGAGGCAGACCACAGACTGATACCTCCTCTAACCAACCCTCATTGCTTCAATGATCAATTTCTACCAAATGCAGGATACCCACTATTGGCTGGGTACCTGGAGATATCCCAGAGCCCCACTCCATTCTAACCATTCAACCCCCTGTCCCTTTGGTAGACCATCTGTTGTGCCATTACTTCCCAAGATCCCCTTAGCGTTGTTATTTTCTCTTTTATTTTCCTTGCTTAGGTGCCACGTGGCCTTTCCATTTTCTATAAAGTGAACATAAACATGAACTCTTCAATGTGTTGTCTGTCCCATTAGATGTGAGCTTGCTTGAGAGCAGCTCACACTTGAACCCTCCTTTACATGTAGGTTCCCCCACCCCCAAATTAGAATGTGAGCTCCTTGAGAGCAGGGAGCATCTTGGTTTTCCTTTTTGGATTAGCACAATGCTGGGCACATAATATGGACTTAATAAATGCTTTCCTATTCCATGAATCTCAGAGAGGCTAAGTAACTTTTTCAAGGTTATATACATCTATAGTATCTGGCTCATGGAAGAACCATGACTAAAAATCTGGATCTCCTGACTCTCTAGTCCAGTGTGCTTCCCACTACATCACATTACCTGCAGTTAAAGGCCAGCTCATCAGATACTTCTATCTAAACGCAAAAACTGTGAGCATGTAACAGATGGGCAGTTCCACTGAATAGCCTTGCAGGTAAGAGGACCCCCCAACAAGAGGCAAGCAAGGCTTTGTACTTTAATTCCATTCCTGAAAATGGCCCCATTAAGTATGTCTTTCAACACTTGGAAATATTTAACATGGATTATAGTAAGAATAGTGACGACGGGAAAGAAAAAGTCCCCTTGTTATGGCATGTTTGCTTCCTGTATTTCTTCTGAATCATGTGTTCTTGGCTTACTGATTAAAAACACGGTTTTATTGCTCTCTGCACTGCCAAACCAATAAATTTCCAGAAGAGAAAGCTGTATCTACTGTACCCCCTGCAACATCAATAAAACTGACAGCCAAGTTCTGATCCCAGAATCTTTATTACTAAGGGATAATGTAGAACAGAACATATTTTGGAGAGAGTTTATATAACAGCTTCAGCCAAACTCTTCAGAGCTGTTTATTCATGCAAACGGGAGCAAAGCAGTCCCAGCCTCTCTGCAGGCAGCCTGGGGGAAGGATGGCAGTGAGTGTAGGGTGTGATTCCCAGGAGGGCTGCACAACTCAGGTTTGAACAGGGAGGTTGTTGGAAGGTATTGATAGATAGAAACCAAGGGGGCTGGGAGGCAGGACAAAGGTCAGAAAAAGTAGGAGAAATGCTGGATCACTAGGAACTATGCCACCGAGCTTTCCTGGTGCCAAAATGAAATTGGTCTCAAGTAATGCTGATGCCAAGGGGCAGAAAAAGCAGCAAGAATGGAGGTAAAGATGAAGAGAATGAAGGGAAGAGATGCTGAGCTAACAGCCAATGACACTGGGCAGGTGACTGATTGAAAAGGAGCTGAGTATCAGAGTCCTTGAGTAGGGCTACAATGATACACCTACACTCACTTGACTCAGCATGTCTTTCTTACAAAGCTGTGTGCAAACTGAATTTTTGTTAAATGAACCTTGTGCTTACATTGTATTCTTGAAATGTCTGTGAATTAAATCAGCAACTGGGCCAAAGCTCTTCTGTTTAAGAAGATTGAGAACAGAACAGAAATCATTGGAGTGTGAGCTCCTTGAAGGCAGGGACTATCTTTTGCCTTTCTTTGTATCTTAGCACAGTGCTTTACCCGTAGGTGCTCAATAAATACTTGTTCACTGATTGAAATCAGAGAGAGCATAAAGAAAGCAAGACAAAGGTAAGGAAAGTGGGGTAGCTGCTCAGGCGCAGAAAGACAACGAGGGAGGTTCTACAAAGATGAAGTGAAACAATTTGGAGGGGTTGTTTTGGGGCCAGAAATGGAGATATTCCCAATTTTATGCCACCTAGTACCCAGAGAAAAGAACCACGTCTGGTGCCCAGATAGTACAATGACCATACAGAACAGACAGTTCTCAGTCTCTGGCACAAAAGGATATGAAAGTTGATAAGAGTGAGAATCAGCAGTATCAGTTACAGATTTGTATTCCCCCTCTTTAAAGTTTTAAACGGGGGGACAGTGGAAGTTGGAGGTAATCAGGGTTAAATGACTTGCCCAGAGTCACATAGCTAGTGAGTGTCTGAGGCCAGATTTGAACTCAGGTCCTTTTGACTCTAGAGCTAGTACTGTATCTACTGTGCCACCTAGCTGCCCCTTAAATACCTATTTTTCAAAGGAAGGCCAAGGGAAGATAAACCTGATCCTCTCTTAGATTACATATCTTGGGGGATGAGAGGTCTCTCAAAAAAAAAAACCCCCCCCAAAAAAACAAGTGTTTGTGAATAAAATCCCAAGGTTTGAAGTTACAGATTAAAAAAGTACTATCTTTAGATAAACCTGATTAGTCCAGATGAAATTAGGCCATTTTTGTCATTTAGAGAATTTAAAAATCATTTACCTTATCACTTAGTACAGTTTCCTCTAATTGTTTCAAAATTCCTATTGCTTAACCTATTTCTATTGTTTAATTAGATGTGATTTAGGAACTTGTGATGTAGGGGAGAGAGTACCGTTGTGGAGTCAGTCGATGTGGGTCTGAGCTTCAGTTCTGCCTCATACTAGCTATGTGACCTTGAGCAAGCCATTCTTCTCTGGTTCTCAGTTTCCTCTTCTGTAAAATTATTTGGTTGAACTGGATGATTGCTAACACTTCTCTAATTTTGCAGCTCTCGTGTTCTGTATTCCCTTATTTCCCCATTTTTCTCTCCCTTTCTCTTTTCCTTTCCTTCTGGTTTTTTTTTTGTGAGTATGTAATGGTGGTGGTGATCAGGTTCATCTCAGTGAATGTAAATATAGAAAGATAAAACTTCTTGAATGAACCAATCAATCAAAAGTGTAAGGTAGATGCAAACAAGGCCTTAATCAACTTGGAAGAAGTGTTTTGATCACTGGATGAAGATGGACAGTATCATGCAGGAAATGCCTCTACTGGGCTCTTATAGAACCCAGCAAGCTAGTTTGGCACCTGGCATTCTAGTCTAGTGATGGAGCAGCCTCTGAGAAGGAATTATTTGGAGGAAGAGGAGGAAAGGATCTCTATGTCCTTCTTTTCCTATATGAAGGTGATTGTGTGAATTCTGTTGATCAGTGTCCTTGGAGGGCAGTGGTTGATGGAAGCTTCTACATTGGGTGCTAAGACGTGACACCCAATTAAGACTGAAGACAAACTAGGTACATTGAGGGAAAGGCAGCTTTAAGACTCTCCAAGATTATTAGCACTCTGAGCTCAGCAGAATGCTTTATCTACCTAAGCGGAACTTTATGAAGAATTCACATGGCAGAGAAGATCTTCCAGTAACCAGGAACCATGAGTTATCCCCTTTTAAAAAATTTTATTTTTTCCCAATTACATGTAAAAACAATTTTTAACATTCGTTTTTTTTTAAAATTTGAGTTCCAAATTATCTTTCTCCTTTCCCCTTATTGAGAAGGCAAGCAATTTGATGTAGGTTATCCATGTGAAGTCATACAAAACATTTTCGTATTAGTTATGTTACGAAAGAAAACACAGATTAAAAAAAAAAGCAAACAAGAAAAACAAAGTAAAAAAAGTATATGTCACTCTGCATTCAGATTCCATCGGTTCTTTCTCTTGAGGTGGAGAGCATTTTTCATCATAAGTACTTTGGAACTGTCTTGGATCAGTGTACTGTTGAGCAGAGCTGTCATTCACAGTGATCATCATACAATGTTGCTGTTACTGTGTACACTGTTCTCCTGGTTCTGCTCACTTCACTTTGCATCATGCAAGTCTTTCCAGGTTTTTCTGAAAGCATTCTGTGCATCATTTCTTATAGCACAAT